AAAGGAACAGACAGGACAGTCTGCCTGCTGTCACAACAGTATGCTTTGTTAGTTAAATAATAGACAAAAAAAAGCTCATGGCTGATATTTTTCATTTAGTAGTTAGTTTAACATGCCATTGCACTGCTGCTAACATGTAATTTAATATGCTTTGGTTATACCGCATAGTTACATACTTTTTAAATTTTAACCATGTATAAACCCTTGTCTCTAATTCCTTTGAGGATCATTGTCACTGATAATTGTGACATCATGAAACTGATGTTTTTGAGGTGGTTATCCTTCTGTAAAAATCTCAAATCATTGCAATCCTGCTTATCATTTATGTTTCTTCAGGGTTCTCGAGAGCAGCTGGCTATTGCTGAGTTTGCTCGGTCTCTCCTCGTCATCCCCAAGACGCTGGCAGTGAACGCAGCACAGGACTCCACTGATCTGGTGGCCAAGCTCCGGGCCTTCCACAACGAGGCGCAGGTTAATCCTGAGCGCAAGAATCTCAAGTGGTGAGTGCTTCGTAACGGCACCATTATGGAACTCCTGACAGCTGTTCCTGATTTTGTAGGCGTTTGATAAAACAATCTTACATACTTTGTTTTCAGCTGCTAGGTTATTTTGTTATGCAAAACATTCAGTATTTGACCACTATCATTTTTGTCTCGTAGGATTGGTCTGGACCTGGTCAACGGCAAGCCCAGAGACAACCGTCAGGCCGGCGTGTACGAGCCCACCATGGTCAAGACAAAGAGCCTCAAGTTTGCCACCGAGGCCGCGATCACCATCCTCCGTATCGATGACCTTATCAAACTGTTCCCCGAGCCGAAGGAGGGTGGGCAGTCGTACCAGGAAGCCGTGCAGTCTGGATCCCTGGGTTAAAAGGCTACGATCGGTCCCGATAGGTTCATCATCTGTATTTATACGCAAGGAGCTCTTCATGGCTGTTGCTCTAGTGTAGGCCGTGCACTTTGCCTGTTTACTGTTCTCCCACTCCCTCTCCTCAAGAGCTCTCGCTTCCAGAGGAACTGTAAGTGATTTTTTTTTTTTTGGACACTTAATAAAGGCTCCAATGGTTGTAAATGACCGTTGATTTGTTAATTCAGATTGGCTAGCTGTGGTTATTGTGCAGGCGTTTGACTGAATTCAAAGAAGTTTTGACTCTATGGCTTATTCTTTATTGATATGTAGAACAGCTGGATTACAAGAAACATTTTCACATGTATGCTTTGTACAGGAAGCACAAGGTTAGAGAAGGCTGGCATACTTTACCTTATGGCACTTAGCTATGTTTCAAGGCTGCTGTCTTCATTGGTTAGAGAAAGTGGAATGTTGATCAGAGTCAGATTTATACAGCGATCGAAATCTATTGACAGCTTGAAGCAACTATCAAATAAATTACACAAGTTAAAAATAGTCTACAAAGAAGGTATAGCATCTTCCAAAGCCTGTCCATACTGGGTGCTAAAAGCCTTGCATTTGCAGTTCATGTTCCACCTTTTACAGTTGTACAGGTACAGTGAAAGCAGGTCATCTTACAGGACAGAACATGATTAAGCTGTCATACGTTAGATTTACATGATCTTGACGTCTAAAATCCCCTTAACATTAAGTCATATGCTACACAGCTATCACCTGAGGAAGGGTGAGTTAAAGTTCACAGTGAGAATGGCAAGCTATTAATCTATAACATCCAACAACTTGTATCCCTTCTGCCTCAACAGTGATCGTAAGATTCCCAGTAAACCGTTAACACTTTCTATCATGACCCGAAGTGTAAACAATGTGTTTAAGTATCCCTTATCCATTACAAACATGAGATCAAGTGCAATCTGTGAAGCAGCGTCAGGTTTTCATCTCAAACCATCTCCACGCACATGGCGATGCCCATCCCTCCTCCTATGCAGAGAGACGCCACGCCCTTACGGCCTCCAGTTCTCTGAAGCTCGTGCAACAGGGTCACCAGTATTCTGCAGCCGGACATGCCGATGGGATGGCCCAGGGCGATGGCACCGCCGCTCACATTCACCTGAGGAGAGGAGGGGGTGGGGTGGGGTGGGGGGGGGAGAGCAAGTGTAAGAGTGAAATTTACACACTAACAAACATGTTTTCAATATGTAAATCTCAAAATGATGACACACTGTTAGTGATGCTGCTCAGTGAGACTTACCTTGTCTTTATTCAGGCCAAGCTCGTTCACCACGGCAACAGACTGGGCAGAAAACGCTTCATTGATCTCAAATAAGTCGACTTGGTCCAGCTGCCAGCCGGCTTTCTCAACCTGTCAGAGAAAAATAAGAGAATAATAAAGATGAAGAAGCAGCCGGCTACTTTATTATATATAATGTGGTTGCTGGTTTGAGCCCTTCTGTGCAGAGTTTTTTGCATGTTCTTTGTATTGGCGTGGGTTTACTCCAGGTGCTCCGGCTTCCTCCCACAGTCCAAAAACATGCAGGTTAATTGGTGACTCTAAATTGCCCGTAGGTGTGAGGGTGAGTGGTTGTCTGTCTGCTTGACACATTTACTTGCATCTGATTTCTCACCGCTTTCCTGATGGCTGGTATTGGTCCGGTTCCCATGATAGACGGGTCAAGGCCAGCTTGAGCCCATGATACGATTCTGGCCATGGGTTTAACGCCACGCTTCGCAGCCTCTGACTGGCTCATCAGGACAGTTGCTGCTGCTCCATCATTGATTCCTGCAGCAAAATAAAGAGATTAACATACAAGTGTTTGGTTAGTGAGATAAACCTCAGTGACATCATCTCAAAATGTCCACAAAATGAGAGAACACCAACTGTCGAACCTGAGGCGTTCCCAGCTGTGACGGTGCCGCTGCTGTCCTTTATGAAGCAGGGTCTGAGTTTGGACATGCTCTCCATTTTGCTGCCGTGACGAGGAAATTCATCCATCTTCACCTCCACTGGACCTGAGGATGACAGACAGATGTTACAGTGCGCACACACAGGGCAGATGAGATGATCTCTCAGTAATAAATTGCTGAATTCCTCCTCACCTTTTCTGGACGGCACCATGACTGGAACAATCTCTTGATCAAAGTGTCCAGCTTTCTGTGCAGCCTCTGTTTTGTTCTGGGACTGGACAGCAAACTGGTCCTGGTCCTCCCGACTGACTCCCCACTGCTTCGCCACGTTCTCAGCTGATAAAATATATAAGATTTATCAATACAATAAGTACTCTTCAAGGAGTTTGCCTGACTGTGTATATTCTCAGTCATACACACCTGTGATGCCCATGTGGTAGCCGTGGAAGGCGTCTGTCAGGCCGTCAGCCACCATGGAGTCCTGCAGGGAGGCGTCGCCCATCCTCACGCCTGTTCTCATCTGAAGCGTGTGAGGAGCCTAAAGTGGAACCAGGAAACAAACAATGAAGACATCTTAGGCTGGAGATATACTCGCTTTTTCACCCTATGTGTGTGAGATTATCAGCTACGTTGTGAACAAAATTATGCACATACTTCACAAGAACTGATTAGCACGCACAGCTGTCAATCCTGATGTCAAATCAAACAGCTAATTAAAACCAAACTTAGCAGAAAAATGCACACATCAGCTAATAAGAACCATCTTAAATGACAGAATCCATCTTTGCACAAATTTGACATGTACTTTGTGTTTTTAGTTTGGCTCATGTCCCGTTCACTAACAGAGGAGGCAGGGTTTCTGACCTGTACTGCCACCAGCCACCAGGGGGCGACTGAGATGTTTTGGCTTTACTTTCATCCATCTTTCTATACAGTTTATGGGCAGTACCTAAAAAGCACTGAGGTTACACATCCAGCTATATTTATAACAGGCTTTCATAAGCGATGCCCACACATTGTATTATCCATCTGATCTGAGTGCAATTTCTTTTTAAAGATTATTTTTAGGCATTTTCTGCTTTATTTAGACAGTGACAGAGATAGACAGGAAAGGCAGGAGGACAGAGGGGACAACAGATTCGACCCAGGGTTGTTGCGGTAAGGTCTTAAGGCGCTTGATAGCCCTCTGACGCGTCTTGTGTCATGACTTACCCTGCTCATACTCTCCATGCCTCCTGCCACCACCACAGCAGACTCTCCAGTCTGAATGGACTGAGCTCCCAGACACACAGCCTTCAGCCCAGAGCCACACACCATCTGGCAGCTCCAGGCCGGGACAGGGTAGGGGATACCTGCCCCAACACTGGCCTGACGCGCTGGGTTCTGCCCCTGACCTTAAGGACAGGAAGGGAAAAATACAACGGAGGTGAACACAGATAAGTGAGTGAAAAAGTTGCGAAACTAAGAAAAGCGATATCTTGCCCAATAAGTGTTGATGCAATGGTCACTATAAGGGCTAACCACTGTCACACTTTGATCTCAGTGATCTCCTGAGCTTTCACCTGCTGTTAGGACATGTCCCATGATAACCTCTGAGACCTCCTCTGGCTTCACCCCAGCTCGCTTCAGAACATCCTTGATAACCACAGAGCCCAGGTCATGCACAGGCACCGTGGACAGAGCACCGTTCAAGGACCCTGTGTAGAAATGATGAAAGGTATTGTTGCATGAGCACATAATCAGGGACAGCTTGGAGGCTTAACTAACTGAAACACTGTTAGCCTACTATTTTACATGGAGAGGAGACTTGTACTGCCTTTTAGATGGATATGGGCCAAAGAACTGTATCAACATAAGGTTTTTTTAAGGTGCTGGTTTTAGTGCTGAAATGATTAGTCAATTAATCCATAAGGTGATCAAAAGAAAATTAACTGCCAACAGTATTGACAGTAAGATCTACATAGCTTGTCATTTTAGATCAGATGAACTCCACACTACAGTGCATATTCATCTTTCTGCCGTACTCAAAAAAGGAGCTCTGCACACTGCTGGACTCCAATTAAATGCTTTATTTTTTACAGTCTTTTCAAGGTAATGTTTAGATTTACAAGATCTTCCTGAGGCGAGTGAGAAAGAGAAAACAGGCATGTCTTGTAGAGGCTGTAGCCTAATCAACTCAGATCACTATCACCTGCTGCTCAGCAAACAGCAGGGGCAATAAATTTACAGACAGGAACCAAATACTAGACAAATGTTCTGTGTCCCTCTCCTGCATCTCCATCTTTCCCCACATGAGGGTAGATAAGCAAATGTTGCCACTTTCTACCAACATCGTTAAATGTATTCACATCATATTGTTTGATTTCACCTTCAGGCTTTTTTCATTCATCTGAGATCTGCTGCTGCTCTACACCAATCAGCCACTGACAGGTGAAGTGAATAACACTGATCATCTTGTTATAGTGCCATGTTCTGCTGGGAAAGCTGGGGTACTGGCATCCATAGCATTAAAGACCAAGTACACCCCGCTTATGGCAGTTGGTGCTCGTTCCTGAGCAGTTTTCTGTTGTGGCACGGCACATTATCCAGCTGGGGGTAGCACTGGCATCAAGGAGTACTGCTGCCAAGAGCGGGGTGTACTTGGTCTACAACAGTGTTTGGGTGGGTGGTGTGTGTCAAGAGGCATCTTACATGCATGCCAGGACCCAAGGCTTCACAGCAGAACATTGCATTGTTCAGTTCAAGTATTCACATATGCACAAATAATGCTGAGTCACTGCTCTGAGTCTACTTAGAGGGCTGAAAGGACCAAGGACTTGCCTTTGCTTAGTTTTATTTACTTTGTGCCTTTATTATTCATTACTTTTATATTTTCTCTTTCTTTCTTGTCTTGCTTTTATATTTTGTTGTGAAGCAATTTGGACCTCTGATCTAGAAAAAGTGCTATATTTTTTTTATAGTGCTATGTGAAATAATACAATGAATACACTTAGTTTCTTATTAGATAAGAGTTAACTTTATGGTCATAGTGTAGAGAAGAGGTGTCAAACACACGGCCTGGGGGCCAGAAACAACCCGCCAAAGGGTCCAATCCAGCCCACTAGATGACTTTGCACCACTAATGTTGATGCACTTGTGAAGGCTGAGAGGTTTCAGGGGGAATTTAAATAACAGTGAATACTTTGTGTGTGTCATATTTAAAGATACTGAACACTGTGCAAAATATTGTCAACCAGCAGCTTCAGTATCAAACAATCTGGACTTTTATCTTAAAACAATATTAGCGGAACCCTGCTGCTGAGGCAGAAACTTTGGATGGTAAACGGTTTATAAGGCAGGGGACGATTTAATCTGCTTTTTTCAATAGCCTCCACTTTAGTGTGAAATTGTGCAAACATGCACATGTAATGACAGTGGGTAGTAGACTGACTGAATGTGAAAAAACTGAGACATACAGTTGGATTTGTACAGATTTTTTCTGACAATGTCGCTGGCTGTTCATTTGTTTTGTAAATGGATGAAGGTTTACAGAATGGTATTCTTTACGTAACTAAAAAGGGTAAACATTTGAAGGGGTTGTGATTTATAGGTTATTATGTGATGGTTTTACTGGTCTGGCCCACTTGAGATCAAATTGGGCTGTATGTGGCCCCTGGACTAAAAAAGGTTTGACACCCCTGGTATAGAGCATGGATGGGGAGACAACAAATTGAAATTTGGCATCTGCAAGCAAGTGCAAAAAGCAGGAGTGCAATGATAGTATCTAGGCTACAATACAAAGGAGTGTTGTATATTCTGCTCTGTGGGCAAACAGGAAGTTCTACATTTAACCACGAGGCATAAAGTTAAATAAAGTGATATAATAAAAGGTGTGTCGGTGTCAATTGAAGTTATCGTGCTATCAAATAGTTTACATTGCTGAACACACACCTTGCTGTCAAATAAAAATATGTTCACATTTTACAGAGACAACACGCCTAACTTGCTCTGTCACTCTGTACATGTTGTGGGTAACCAATGGTAGGGCGCTCGTGGTCCGTGGCACTATGACCGGCCAGCCAATCAGCGGTCAGAGAGCACTGCGGACACTCGAGCGAACCAATCAGAGCTCTGCAAGCGAGACTCGGCGTCTTTAATTGAATGACATCAACCACTCTGCCAAATTAAACAAGACTACTGATAAAACGACTTTAAAAATAGCTAATATCACTATAAGTGTATAAATAAATATGTTAGCTTGTAGCTACATATTCCGCTACAGGTAATTTAACCACCGAGACGAGCAGTCACAGTGTAGCTGCAATACAATGTTAGCAAACTGTTTTAAATGAACAAGTAGCGTTATGGCGCTGAGGGGAACATTAAATCTTACCAATGGGTGTCCGTGCAGCAGAGACGATGACGACAGGCTCGGTGTTCATGTTGATAGATGGCTGGTATGAGTTGGAGTGCTCGTTACAAACTGTTGTTCCTGTCTGTCCACACTGCTCCGTCCGACTGCACCGTGCGCTGTTGACACCCGGTAGACCTGCACTCAGTCTGCTATATGGAAGTACAACTGGTGGGGTAAGGCACCACAGCGCCACCCTGTGTTCTGGAGGGGTAGTGGTCATTCATTAAAATGACACTTTGCATTGAGCTGAATTTACAGCCTCATATTTAATCTTCCATTATCTTAATATCGATATTATTTGTCACTTTAGGCTTTCCAAATTTTAAGTATTTATTATGCCACATTAGTCAGGGTAACATATGTTATATAGCTTTCTAACTTTGATTTATCTGCTTGTGTATTTTCTACTTGCTTGTATCCTGTTCTTTTTAATGCCAGGTTCCTGCTTGTGCTACTGTAATGCTGGGATTAAAGAAGTTTGATCTTATTACATGCCACCTAACTCACTGGTTCCCACCCTGGGGGGTCCTGACTCACACTAGGAGTCACCAAAGCTTCACAAGGTGTGTTTTTATACACTTTACTTATTTTACATACTTATATGTTGCTCTGTATTTTTTCTTACTGATGCTTCCTGTTTGCAGTGTCCCTTTGCTGCTGTAATGCTGCAAATGTCCTCGCTTTGGGATAATTAAAGGTTTATCTTATCTTATCTTAAAGCCTTCTTGAGTTTAATGGGTATAAGAAAACTTTAAAAATGTAGATACATAAGGCCTATATATTGGAATTTCATTCATTTTCTTGAAGAAAACTAAATGAAGTTGCTAGGGTTTTTTTTTAATTTGGATTATTATTAAAGATATAAGCTTCAGAATCTCACAGGATAAGACAAGCTGTCCTGACAGAGCCTTCAATCTGCTTAACAGCCTTGTCCTGCATTAGAAAAGTATTAACAGAAAAGCAGTTAAAACAAAACTAGGGAAAAAATGGCCAAGCATCAGAGAAGAACACTGAATTTCTCAACATAAAGAAAGAAAAGAAGCCTATGAAGTATTTATGATTGTTAGAAATCCAAACAAATATATATTACAGACAGAAATATATTTATCATTCCTACAAGTATCAGGAAAACTCATCTCATGATTCGGTATTCACAGGAAATAATCTGCTCAAAATGTATGTAAAATCTCCCCCAGTTAATGCATTCACTACTTGGGTTAATGGCACAGTTTCAGGCATTGAGTACTGTGATTATGCATTGAATATAATGTGACATATCCATAAAATGTCAGTAATAGGTAATCAGCTTACTCACTGACCTAATTACTCTCATCTGACATTTATGTCAAAGATCTTAAATTAAGACAAGAGCAAAACCCCGTTTATTTTTAGGCATGCTCATTCTTTTAATATAGTAGCTTTGATATAAGGCAAATGTTGGTTACTTATATTTAGTGAAACACTCAGTGAGCAGCCTTTCAGGCCCAGTTTGGTGGATTAAATGAGGCCTTTTAAATATTCATGCTCCAGCTGAGCCAGTAGGTTACATAAGCAATGAGTTTCCATATTAATGTCCTGATGGGTTGGTTGTAATAATAGGTTTCACTCTGTAGTATTAAAAATCTTTATTGGTATTTGGTCAGTACATGAAAAGGACTGAAGTCAGAATAATATGAACATCGCATATAAACTACTCACAATTCGACAGAGTCTTTTGAACTGAATTTTTTTGTCAATGAAAAATTAAAATTGCATTTAAAAAAAAAAAAAAATACAGGCCAACATCTAAAAATGACCTTGAATATTGCGAAGCTACTGTAATTCAGTGATTTTACTGACTTTTGACGATGAGTTACAACACCAGATGCCCGATTTCAGTGTCAAGAGCTCAAACGAGAACAGCATCGACATGCTCAAAGAAACAGCAGAATGAAACGCTCTAGTTTTTAAATCATACATCCACTCAATTCAAATCTAACATTAACCAATACCTGTTATATCCCTGTTTTAGCAACACAAATGTGACAGAGGCATCACGATAGGCGAGGGGAGGAGGGTGAAAACAAAATGTCTTGGACAGCAGCGCTGTGTTACAGACTATGCATTTGTTGCCTTGTTTGAATTGTATAAAAAAAGAAAAGACAGTACATGTCAAAGTACATTACAAAACCGCACTGTCGCTCGTGCTGGAGTCCAGGCCGTTCTGAGCATGCCGTGACCCTGCAGTCCTGGTGCCCTTGGTCACCAGGGCAGCCTTGTCCTCGTGGGGGTCGGTGGTGGAGTCTGTGTCATTCGAGTGCTGAGTCAATGATGTCTCGCTGCCTGTCGGAGAGTCCACGCTCTCGTACCCTGCACTCAGCTGGCTCCCGAAACCCACGGGTCCTCCAACTCTCCCAGCGGCGGTCTGACTCCCTGACGCCTCCTCCGAGTGGTTGGACAGTTTGGTCTCAGCTTCACCGGGACTGGAAATCATGGGGGACATGGGAAAGTCTTCCTCGGTGCTGCTGACCTCCCGGTACAGGCTGGGTGTGGTGGTCTCGCTCCTCTGGGATGAGTTGCCGTTGCTTGGTCCGTTGGAGACCCTCCCGTAGTCTTTGCCCATTGGTTCGGAGGGTGCGCTGGCCTGCTCGGGCTGGGTGGACGGTTCGGCGGATGAGCAGGAGGCAGCGGGTGAAGTCCTGCTGGGCCCGGCTCCGGCCAGAGCCCCCTGATTCTGAGACAGCTGCTGACGAGACTCCTTCAGCTGCTGCTGCAGGACGAGGATGGTGCTCTGCATCCCCTCTACCTCCTCGTCCAACTGGATGATAAAGTCATTCAACTCTGGGGGAGACAGATCAGGAACAAATGAAGTCAACAATCTAACTGACAGTAAAACGTTACACACAATCACACTTGTGGATGCCGCTCGAGTTCTCACCGTCCTGGCTGCTCTTGAGCTCCTCGCTGTACTTCTTCTGCAGGGCCAGCTCAGCCTCCAGCTGGGCGATGCGTCCCTGGGACATCTGCCTGCCCAGCTCCTGGTTTTCCTGGATCAGCATTCGACACTTGGCCATCAGTTTCTTCCCCGTTTGGCTGCAAGGGAGACAAGTCTCACATCACGCAGTGAACCAGGAGACAAACACAACAGGCAGAGAGATGCCCTTGATCTGTTCCAACTTCTTGATCCACAAGCTAAGGCTCAATATGAACTCACCAACCTGGCCTTACCTAAATGACTCTAATCACAAAAAGACTTGCATTATAATCATTAAATTCCAGTGCAACATAAAATCGCTGACACAAACCTGTTCTGTACAGTGTAGATGGTTTTCTTGTAAAAGACCCACAGTGCAAACACATTTTTCTCTAAGTATATCAAAAGCTAAATTATGAGTATATTTAAATATCCTCACTGTGGCTGAAACCCAAAACAAGCTACCTATACCCACATTTCTCTGAAACTAATGCATCCATTCTTACACTTAATTCACCATGTTGCATATTGAGGAAAAGTGAGCACTTAAAAACAACAGTAGCAACCCGTCTACCAAATTTAAAAGCACGTGCTACATCACTGAGTGAGAGGAACAAGCAGAATGAAATGTAACACAGTAATATCAGAATAACACGCTACAAAAAACCCTCCAATTTAAATATCAACCCTTAACTATGAGTGGCAAAATGGAAAGTAGTACCAGGCACTGGTTTTGTGTAGTCATCCCTTTAAAACACACAGGAGTTCAAGTCTTTCAGCAGGAAAATCAAATAGCTTAAGGCGCCACTTTCTCAACTCCACAACAGATTAATGAATCCTCCAACAGCCCAGCACACCTGGCAGTTTGACATTAGCAGTTTTTGGAGCTATGCTTTACAAAGCCCTAATCAAGAAGCCACAATTTTCAAACAAATGACAGGCATACACATTATTTAAAAACCAGAACTAGCTGCCATCTGGTATGTCTACAAATGCCTGTGGAAGTGATCTGGAAATATTAACAGTAATGGCTCAGCAACTGTACCCTGTAGAGACAGTTATTAAAGTGGTAACAGCTCAGAAACCTCATCAAAAACAATGAGTGTTATTCTACCTTGTCATAAAAATGCACTGAACATTATTTACTTAATTGCAATAGCTGCATTTCTCCTCATATAATAGTTATCATTATCATTAATTTCTCTGGAAGACTGGGAAGACATGTTATTAGCTCTCAAAAGGCAGTGTGTACACCGCCAGCTCAAATCTCACAGAAGTGTGAGAGACCTGAGTATAAATGAGTTTTTAAAGACAGTAAACACATAACAGATCCCACGTGTTTCATTCTGAAAACTGTGGCTACAGATCTGCGCCACACAGGTGAGAAACAACGTCTAATGAGCTACTAGCGTAAATGGCTGAGGGAGAGATTGGGAGGTCAATCACAAAAATACACAGAAATACAATAAATACATTCTCATCAACTCATAACATGACTTGATTAAGACATTTGCATTCACAACTTGAAAACAGGACTCAGTGCACCTACAGCAGTGTGTTTCAGGACGTATCTGGAGAATTAAGCAAGGCTTAATTCGTCGTAAAAAGTGCAAACATTTATACAGGTGTAAACAATCTGAGCCAATCATGCGTTCACACACACACTGCGGTAAGTGTTTGTTTCAGAGAAACAAGAGAAAGATCAAATGAAATGCCAATAAAAAGAAACAAGTCACAAAATAAAACATGTAAATACACTCTACCGTGAGTGGGCCCATGTTCAAAGACACAGGCGACTGGACCCTCATCCCTGAACCATTAGTCCTCTGTGGACCGAGGATGTGCTCCGCTCACAGTCTTAACATCATTTCTAGTGGCTCTTCCCCCCCGCAGTCTTACTTTTACTCCTAGAAACTTCCCTCGTGTTACTGCAATGTATCTAGACTGTCCAAAAAGTCTTTACGTTTCTCAGGCAGACTAGAGGGTATGTGTGTGGTGTAATCCACAGTTAAATGTCTTTACAAACCAAGTATGGGGAATTGTCTGTAAAATGTTCAATTGCTGTTTTAGGCTAGGGATGCTCCCTGCCTGACTCAACCTCCACCTCCACCATAACCCCCCTATTTAATATGTGAACTGTCTGCTTTGAGCTGAGGGGGCTGGGAGGGCATATCCGTGTCGGGGAAGTGAGTGACCACCTCTTCAGGAACAGTCCGGACTCCTTCAGGCCCTTGGACGGTGAGGGGATACGAGGGGAGAGAGCTGAAACACAAGTGTCACCTGACCATACTGTCTTTTCGCTTTAGGTTATGTGATATGTAGCTGGCACAGTGCAAGAGTACAAAAAAACAGGTTTGTTTTGCAGTGACTGGCTTTCTGTAAAGTCTGAGTCTCGTGGTGAGTACAGCATTTGTCAGCCTTCCCCCCCACCATTGTTCCTGCATGCCTGCAGTGAGAGTGAGGGTGGGGGGCATGAGGAAGTCTTGACTTTTTTTGGGGGGGAGGGGGGGGGGGTATTTTGATTGTCTTTACCTATCAGGTGTAAATTTCCAGGCACTCAGTTCATTTTGGGCCTGCTCCAGTTTGTCTTTAGTCTGTTCTAGTTCAGCCTTCATTTTGAGGAAAAACAAGTTGATGGCTGGATCCACCATGGATGACCGCAGTTGGGCCGCACTCGGCTGCTGGACTTGCTTGAGATACTGGATCTGGGTCTGCGGGGTAAAACAAACAGGTGTTACTGACCAGAAAAATGAAGTTCA